ATTTGGAATCAGAAAGGATGCATCCACTGGAAGGTGAGGTCATTCCTAAACATGGAGAGGCCTGCAGGACAACTGGGAATTTCAGGGGAGTGGAAGATACTTGGAAGAATGCTGCGTGAAATCCAAGAGTCTAGAAGAGAGAAATAAAAGTGTGTGAAGGAACAGGTGAGGTGTTGCTTAAACTCTATTGGAAATGTATGATTTTTTTTTTCATAGCAGTACAACAGAGTAGAACTGAAAGTTGTAGTAGAGCATATGTGTTCATTTGAGGTCATCATTGTTATGGAAATTCATAAAGCCTGCTCCAGCACAAGATGACAGGTGATTTCAGGTGGGAAGTGAGTTCCCTGTAGATATGGGTGAGAACAGAGGAATTTTCACAGACTTTTTATAGACCAGGAGACCAGGAAAGGTTGAGGAAGTATCTCCTTAAGAACCAAGGGCAGCTTCGGTGTGCAGCAAGGAAAGATGGTTGTAGTCATTAATTAAGCCTGTCACCATTGGAGGTCTTGGCAATGAGGATGAAAGCTATAGAACATTTACACTGGTAGGTAGATAATGTGGGATGATGGAATGATGGAATAGAGGACCTCTGGGCCAAGGGATTATGATTTAAGTGGCGACCCTAAATTTCAGAGAATTGTTGGAATAAAATGGGTAGAAAGAATGATGGAGGCAAGTCTTGCTAGGATGAGGATGTTGTCTGTGCTAAGGGAATTGAGACAGGTAATGAGCCACACAAGAAAGATCCAGCCCATGAAGTGGAGAGATGCCAGAGAAATAGTCATGGAGTATGAGAACTATTAGAATTTTCAACCTAGCTGGGTGTCCGCCTGTAATCCCAGCAACAACTTGGAAGGCTGAGGCAAGAGCATTGCAGACTCAAGGCCAGCCTCAATAACTTTATTGAAACTCTGTCTAAAAATAAAAAGTAAAATAAAAAGGGGTGAGGAATGTAGCTCAGTGGTAAAGCACCCCTATGTTTAATGCCCAGTACCACTCCCAGCCCGTCAAAGAATTTTCCTTTGGGCCTGTGATGAATTCAAGGGTGTGGACTTCATGGCAGGCATTGTTAACCTGGAAGATCTACCGGTAGTTAATGTGGTCAGGTAAAGAAATGGGGAAAGAACCATTTGAGGGTGTAGGGAAGTTTGTCCTTAAGAGAATCAAAGTTCCAAAAAGAGATGAAAATATTTAGGATGAGTTCACAAGAGAATAACACAGGTAGCTGTAAGAAAAAACTTCACTACCCAGACAAGTTAGATCAGAGCCTTTGGGGTAGAGCCCTGGAGTGAGTCTTTCAAAAGCTCGTCACTGAGTCCTATGTGTGTTGAGATAAAGAACTAGTGGGCTGGGAAGAACATGAAACAGGAGTGGGGTAGGCCTGAAGGAGGAAGAAGGACTTGGGAGGGGTGATGTACTATGGGTTAGAGCGACAAGAGAAGCAGGGACATCAGAGAGACTGGCCGGGAACATTAGCAAGCAGGGTGCCAAGAAGGCAAAGTTTCAGCATTGAAGGGCTTTTTCCAGCTAATCCACCCCTAGTCCACTCACAATTCAAGGGTGAATGTGAGGTCGTATAAATGTGACTAAACTATCTCTTTGGTATGTTGGACAGACCATTTACCTACAACTAGAATTTTGATATTTTTGTATTATTAAAAGTCCATGAGGTTTAGGAATGCCTCATCCATTATTCATGTTTTGGTTCAGGCTAAGTGCTGGATCCCCAGATGCTGAAAATTTATAAATGTCTATTTGGAAAGCATTGACCACAATACAAACTACTTTTGGGTTATTTTCACGGCAAAAAGCTGTTCATTGGTCTTTCTCAGTGTTGACCATTGGCATGGCTTTCTAATCAACATAATCAAATGTATTTTATAAAATATACATGTGCATTTTTTAATAGATCTCTATGTGTCTGTTGGGAAGACAGGACAAGAGTTTTCTGAGTATAACAATGTGTATGAATATAAACTACGTATACCAAACACTTTAGATATGATATGGGTCTTCTACGGTATGATTTTTGCAATAATTTTCCTGGAATTCTTTGAAAAGATTTGTGTTAATCAGATCCCAGGATCCCCAAACAAATACAACTTTCCCTAAGAAGAATTTAAGCCTTGCATGATTTCTATCTTAGAAATCACGATGCTTCTTAGTGTCTTAGAGGTATTGCATTTTCAAGGAGTCTAGAAATAATGTCCTGAAGCTTTACACTAGAGCTGTGTGTCCACATCATTTATTCCACATCAAAAAAAATCCTATAGGCTTGATCATCAAAAATACATTCAGCAACCCACCTGGTCTTATCCCCTCCCCTGGGAACCAGGCTGGTCAGATCCACCATGAGGAAGGATGATTGCAATTGGCTCCTCACTTGTCTCTCTGCTTCCATTTGTGTCCCTTGAGTCAATTTTGTTTTCATGACCCCAGAACTACCCTGTAGATGGAAACTCTATAGGAAACACCCTGACAGAAAAAAAAATTTCTTCCCTTGGCTTCCTGGACTTGTTTTTCCCCCTTCTCTTCTTCCTCTGGGTGCTCATCTTTCTTTAGCAACTTGGGCACCCTGCTGGCTGCCCTTCCTCCTCCTTGATCCCTGTCATCCAGGGTATGACTCTTCAGCAGCTCAACCTGACATCTACATGCAGATACAAAGCCTGACTTCTCCTCTTAGTAGCTGATGCAATCTAGAAAAACTGACTTAGTGCCATGTTTAGCATATCAGTCAAGTGGGGATAATGAGATTGATATAGAATTTCTGTGAGGATTAAATAAGTTAATAAAAAATACTTAGAATTTTGCCTGGTACATAGGAAACTCTCAAAAATACATTACTGTTTTGTTATTATTATTATTATTTTCTCTCTCTATTCTCTTTTAGTATTTTCCCTGGTCACCTCGGATGACAAATATCAATATTGTTGGTTCCTGAATATATATCTTGGGATCATCTCTCTGTCCGGACAGCCACACCCGTATTTCTTTTAAAAAGATCAGGTATGGCTTTTTAAACATTGTCTTAATTGACACACAATAGTTTTACACATTTATGAGGTACACTTTGATACCAGGCACAGAAAGACAAACACTGCATGAGCTCACTTATGTATGGAAACTAAAGAAGTTGATGTCACAGAAGTAGACAGCAGATAAGTAACTACCAGAGGTGGGCAGGACAGGGGTTGCAAGAGATTGGTACAAAGCCACACCTCTAATTCTAACCGTGCCCGGGTATCTCTGTCTGAATGCCCAATTTATGCTTCTAATCCAGTATTCTAAAAGAATAAGCACTGTTATAGATGGAATATTTGTATCCTCCAAAATTCATATTTTGTAATCCTAACCCCCAATGTGATGGTATTAAGAGGTAGGGCCTTCAGGGTGGGGTGAGGTGATTAGCGTGGAGCTCTCATGAATGGGACAAGTGTCCTTATAAAAGAGACCCTAGGGAAAACTCTAGTTATCTCTCTACCATGTGAGGACACAGTGAGAAGTTAGCAGTCTGCAACCAGGAAGAGGCTCTTAACAGAGCCCAGCCAAGCTGGCACCCTGATGTCAAGTCTCCAGCGTCCACAACTGTGAGAAAGAACTGTTGTTGAAGCCACCCCATCCTGGGTATTTTGTTATAGCAGCCTGAACTAAGGTTGTAACCACAAAGTTGCTTGTCCCCTGAGTTTACTACCATTGACTTAGAGATACAAGTCTGATCTCTTACTCCACCCACTGAGGTTAGTGACCAGGCCCGATAAAGGCTACTGAATAGGACCTTTTCCCTGTTCCCTTTATCACCCTCTTCTGTTATCATCCCAGCTCTATCCTGCTCTTCTTATTAACTGATTCTCTCTTCCCACTGAAGTCAAACTAATATTTCTTTTTTTAAAATATTTTTTTTTCTTAGGTGTAGATGAACACAACACAATACCTTTATTTTTATGTGGTGCTGAGGATCGAACCTGGGTCCCGCTCGCGTTAGGTGAGTGCTCTACCACTGAGCCACAATCCCAGCCCCTCAGACTAATATTTCTAATGTATATTTCTGATCATTCTTTCTTCTATTTAAACCTCTCTATCTCTATATTAACTCAACAGATTGAACCTCAACTCCTCTCACTGATAGTCAAGGTCTCTCTTCATGGGAGGAACCTGTCACTCTAGGCTTCCTGGAATAATATGCCTGCCTAGAGGCATCATTTGCTCTGTGTTTCTGCATGCTGTTTCCTCCACCTGGAAATATTGAATTTTTAGTCGAAACCCTACCTTCCACTTTGGTCAATTTCAAATGTTAGCTTCTTTTCATCTTTTCTCAAAATAACATGACGCCTCTGTCTCTTGAACTTGCATGAACTTTTGCATCTCGTCTGTGGCATTCATCACATTCTGACTTATCTCCTCATCCTTGCCATACTTCTTTTATTCTTCCTTCTAGATCATAACTTTTTCAAAGGTACTTATTATATCCCTTAAAGCTTCAAATGGGATAAAATGAATGGCAATAATCACACCAGGAATTAAGCTCATTTATTCTGCAAAGCAGCAGCCTGTTGTCAAATGCTAACCCTCTCCCTCACAGCCCTCGTAAAAAGAATGGGAAAGCATATAAATGAAGTAGCACACAAGAGGAACATACAGTGTGAGCAATTACGCCAATTTCTTTTATAGGAAGAACACAGCTGAGATAAACATGGAAGCAGATTATTTACCATCCACGGGTCTCCTTGCCAAACTCTTCTACATTTTTCATTAAAAGAAATCAAGGAAGGTAAACAAAAGTAGCCCTTGGGAGGAATCAGCATTAAGGAAACGGCTCATACGTCAGCACGGCCCCAGAGATTTGTCTGTTTCTTTAACTGTGTCCTTTGGGGCGGAATGCACGTGTTCACACACCTGGGTGCATGTGCACAGACAAATCTCCAGGTGTGTTCAGCCACACCAAACCTTGGCTTACAAGTGGAGTGAAGAAGAAGGAGTGCCGGGCAGGAGTCACTTACCTTGAGGGCATCCTGAGTGTCATCCAAACAGTAGACCCGGATGCTGTACTCCAGGGAGGAACAGCAGAGAGGCCCAAAGATGGCTAACTTCAGGCGTTTTGCTGCGGCTTTGGTGGTGGATTGCCCAACCAGGGTATACGTGCTGAGGTTCTCTGTGAGGATGTGGCAGGCCTCTGCATCCAGCTGAATGTAGCAGGGGGTAGTGAAGTTTTCCTCTCCAACCACTACTACATCCTGGAAGAGACAAGGGACAGGGCTTATAATATATATTTCTAAGCCATGGAGGATGCATGCTGGTCACTGTGGGTGGTGGTAGGCAGAGTAATCTCCTCTCCTGAGTGCTCATTTTTCTTTATCCTTTCCTATTCCTTTCTTTCTCAGGCCTTTTGATCCTACTACTTCCATTCTTCTTTTTTTTTCCTTTTTCTTTTTTTTTTTAGTTGTAGATGGACATAATGCCTTTATTTTGTTTATTTATTTTTATGTGGTGCTGAGGATTGAACCCAGTGCCTCCCACATGGTAGGCAAGCGCTCTACCACTGAGCCCCAGACCCAGACCTCTACTTCCATTCTTAATAATTATCTTCTTTACTACTCTTCCCTTTGCCACCTATATGCTGATAATGTTCTTTATGTAGAAGTCTTTTACACAGTGCATTTTTTTTTTTTTTTGGTACTGGGGATTGAACCCAGAGGAATTTAACCACTGAACCACATCCCCAACACTTTTTATATTTTATGGAGAGACAGGGTCTCACTGAGTTGCTGAGTCTGGCTTTGAATTTGCAATCCTCCTGCCTCAGCCTCCTGAGCCACTGGGATTATAGGCATGTGCCACCTTGCTTGGCTGTTTTTTTGATCTTCCTAGAATCTACATTACTGGAATCTACATGAAAATCCAAAAGACCTTCATAAGTTACCCTGACTTATGAAAATAAACCTTAGTTTATTTTCTGTTTCTGAGAACTGAATGATTTAATATATATTTCTTATTTAATCTAAAAGTATAATGTTTTGCTGTGCCATTATAGCATAGCAGTTTTTCCCTAAAAAACCCATATACTTGAAAAGGATTAGGAAAACTAAGGCCTTATGCCATGCCATCCAATTGCATTCTTTCAAAATTCACCTGCTAGTTACTTCCCAAAGCAGGACACTGCTTTTTTCAAACTCTCTTTCTTGCCACATTTCATGGAAGGCAAGATTTGGCAGGCTTGATGTCTTTAATATACTTTTCTTTGCTGAGTGCAGTGGTGCACAGGCCTATAATCCCAGCAATTTGGGAGGCTGAGGCAGGAGGATTGCAAGTTCAAGGCCAGTCTCAGAAATTTAGCAAGACCTCAATAAAAACAAACAAAAAACCCACAACAGACTGGGGATGTAGCTCAATGACAAACCATTCTGGGTACAATCATCATTATCTTCCCCCCCCCCCCCACCACACACACACACACAGAGCATGATCTCCTCATATGGCCAAGAGTAGCAGATATCCATAGAAAGAAAACTCTAATTAATTCCAGGATGCCCCCCTACTCTGCTAATTCTACATTCCTAAAATATTAGGGGTTTAAATCTTCAAATATATCTTTAAAAATTTGTTCCCTAAATGAAAAATACCATATGCAATCATGAAGTACATAATATATACTTTGCATATTATACATGTATATGACATACTTATGTGTGTATGTATGTAAATATATATATATATATATATATATATATATATAGTATAACATACTTTGTATATTACAACTTCATATTTCATAATTTTATAATATATATATATTATATAATGGCATTATTTGATAAAGCATATTCCTCAGATACAGGTGCTAAGTGACAGGTTCTGATGTGAGAAGTGGGGCCCACTGAAGGCCCTGAAGTTATGATGGCAATAGATGTAGAAGGACAAGGTGTCCCAGATTCTCTTCATTCAAAGTAGAGCTTTGGAGACACTTACTTTCTGTTTTCTCAGGTTAAATTCACAGGTATATCTTAAATACTTCTCTGCAATTAAGTGCCTAACGTGCTCTAACCAAGGTACAATGTGCAACGACTCTCTAACTCCAAATTTAAATAAATTAAAAAAATAAGAGTGTATGTATGTATGTGTATGTATATGTGCATACACACACACACACACACACACACACTACTCAGAAACTAGTCTCTCATTTTGAGTACAACCTAAACTTCTCCCCACATGTTTTGCTTTAGAAATGAAGGCCTCCTATAGTTACTCCTACTGATGTGCATGAATCCCATCTCTACTCTGAAAGAAGCCCCCTCACCTCCCACTGTCCCTGTGCTGTCTGGTTTTTGAGCTGGATCTTCCAGTCTTCTGTATTGGGATCTGCACAGTGATGCAGAGTGAGGATGACGGGGCGGGTCAGCAGGGCTCCCGGAGGCCCACAGCTCACCACTGGGGTCAAGAGCGTCTGAGAGTCTTCCATGGGTGGCCTGGTAGGAGAGCAGAGAACTATGTCAGTGACATTTCATAGTAATTATGTACTGCGGACTTGTTGAGATCTGAGATCTAAAGTTGTACAAACAGTTCAAATAGTTTTCTCTTGGGTTTTTTTGGGGGGAGTGGGGGAGTGAGGCAGAAATAAATGTGAAGACATGCTCTTTATACCAAGGCTTTCATCTTTCAAGACTGGAGGTCTCTATGAAAACAGGGAATTTGCCATCATCTCTTTGATCCCCTCCCTCAGACACAGGTTGCCTTTGGTAGCTTCCTCTGAATATATGTGCTGATACTTTTCAGGATGGAATGAGAAAGAACAGAGTCCTTATGAAGTTATATAACTAGCTTTTCTGATAATACTTGCCATTGGTCTCACAGGGTTTTAAATACTTTTGTGTTTTTAGGACCTAACTTGAAAAATACTTCAAAAAAAAAATCACTTCAGAATGAGGACACCCTGGAGCTAAACTTAGTCCAAATGACTTTCAGGAATAATTCAGGCTAGTATGGCAGATTCATTCTTTCAAATATGACCAGAAACACTATAGAACTGTATTTCTATAGAAATTAAAATAAGTTCTCTTTATTTATATATCTCATATTCAGATCTGGGCAGAAAGAACTGCAAAGATCTAAATTCTTTTATTTTATTATTTTTTAAAGACTAACATATTGTTTCCCCAAAAAGATTTTAACCAACAATCAAATGGATAAGTTAACCTATCTTGATAGTTGAGTAGTCATCCCATAAGTGTTAAGTGGATGGTACAAAGTCTCACACCTTGTAAGTGCTGGTTAGCGCAGGGACTAAAACTCATGCCTTCCCAATAACAATGCTCAAGCCACTGTTAGAGTAGCCTGGCCTTAGAAAATGTGGATCCAAAGAATTTCACGATCCCTCAGGAGGCCACTGAACACCACCTTCTATCTAAAGCACAAACCTCTGACAACATGGCTGTGCTTTAGACACATCCACATTGACAGTCCATTGCTACCAAAGGGTCATCCTGTTTATTAAACACTCAAATTTCAAAAAGATCCTTAGCTGGGATGAACACAATCTAGTTTCCTAAAGTTTCTCTTCACCAATCTTTGACCTGTTTTCTAGCCCACTTTGTTTCATATATTTGGAGATTGTTACAACTCCAAAATCTTCATTTCACACCAAACATTCTCATCTTTTTTCAGCATCAACTGGCAAAATATGGTCTCCAGATCTCTTCATTTTCACATGGAAGTTTTACAGTGTCCACGATAGTTTGGGGAATCTTAAAGTGAACTCAATATTCAAATACTATGAGGTACTACTATTTCTTTGATTTGAAATGTGTAGTTATATTCATTCATCATAAAATTGTTCTCTTAGATTACTGATAATCAAGTAATTACTTATAAATATTATTGAGAAGGCTCCAGTTAGAAAGAAAGATGGAGATAGTATGGCTAAGTATCTCCTTTATAAAAAGAGGCAGTGAAGGCCCAAGGAAGTTAAGTAATTTGTTAAAACTAACCACTCTATGTGTTCCTTACATGAATGACTCTTAGGCATACTTTATATTGTTATGTGTTAGTAGTAATGGCTTTTGAATCTAGGTATGGCCATTTAAATTAAGCTTTTTGATTTTACCTTAATAGTCTCACAGTAAATTTCTTAATGTTACGTCTTTCTTCCAAATATTGGCTATATCTGCCAGTCTTTCATCCTTCATAAATCTCATATGCCTGCCATCTGTGCTTTCATCACAATCACTGATAACATTGTAACACAAGAATAAGGCAAGGACAGAAATCTTTTCAAGGACACCACTTGAAAACTCTCTCCCATCTAACATCAATATCTTTGAGTTATTTAGTTCAACCAAATAGAAACCCATTAAAATGTACATTGTCCAGTTGACATCCCCTTTATCTTATTCACATAGATATTAAAAAGGACATATCAAATTCCTTTATAATTGCAATGGCCACTTGAAATTGATTTTTCTCTATTCTTTATCTGTAGTTTATATATTATTTATTACAGCATCTAGAAGTTAGTTTATCTGGCTTACCTTCATTTAACACTCAATGAATGATAGTAGCTATTATTATTTTTAATATTGTTGGAAGACAATTCTCCATGGATTTCTCATATTACTGTGCAGTCTTTAATGTCTTTTCAAGGATGCTTGTAGAACAGTTGCCTTGGAATATAAAAATAGTGTCTGTTCTGGAGCAAATGGCAGGCAGTTCTCCTTCTCATTACAAAGACCCAGGTTTCCTAAGCTCAGAGGTCCTTTACTGGAATCCAACACTTAAGTGTGTAGATGTCATCTGATGCTCTTTGTATCACCCTTTGAGAACCTGGGCTCAGGAAACTGCACAAAAAGATAATATTCTAGATGACATGATTGCTAACAAACTGTCCTTTGTCTCTGACCCAGGAGTTTTGTATCTTCCATCAGTATCCACAAAACCAAAGTAGCTGACCTCACACCTCACAAGTAAGGTCACATCTTGGAGCAATCACAGATAACAATTATTATCAGTTCTAAAATCTGAATTAAAATTTGGCATTTATTATCCTTAAAAAGTCTTAGCTATCACTGCTTCCTCTCTAACTTTAAAATTGCATTCAGATCCACCAACCTATGTCTTTTTCTCTTCCTATTTAGAAACCCCAAACAAACATTACCTACTTTTAGTCTTTTAATATCATCTCCATTCTCTATGAATAACAACAAAGTTTTCTCTATTCAATCTGAAGTTTTCTAGGTACTTGGAAATGTACTTACACTGCACATCATAAGGTTATCAGCGGCAGCTTGAGACCTCATTACTATCCCCTTTTCCACTCTGATTTTCATTTTCTTTTAACCCAGTTTGTCCTCCTTCTTTCCAGTCTGAAATTCATTCTCTTACATGACTGAAGTTTTGCTTTCATTTTGTCATATTTAATATTACACTATCTGCCTTAGGCAGTGACTTTATTATTGCTTAATTCTACTTTTCCTTCCAAGGAGAAAAAAAAAATGCAATGATTGCATTTTCCAGAGCACTGCTCTTACCTTTTAGTTACAAGTGTACCTCAAGAAGTGAGTATTAAACTTTTGAGGAAGGAGCCTAAAGTGGAATCCATTTCAAGTGGCCCTTGCAATATAACTGGAGATTGGAAACATCTGTCTCTCAGTCTGGTGTCAGCAGCCAGTGCTTGAAGGCAGGAAGGATAGGAAGCAGGGGTTCTTCTTGTCATTGAATTGGAACAGAAGGGAGCAGAAGATTCCCTGCTGGGTTGGGGAGCTGTCAGACTGGTATTCTCCAAGCACACCACTGGCATGCAATATTGATGGGCACTGTTCTTGCAGGAGGGATAGCAAGGGAAGCGGGGAGGAAGGAGGGACAATGAGTGTCAAAAGAATTTATTAACCCAGTGAGGTGGGAGAATGTAATGAATAGGGAAGTGGTGAAGTGGAATTCATAACAGGGGATGAAAAACAAAGAAGAAATAATAAGACACTCAAATGCTTTCAAGATGAAAGAAATCGGCTTGAAATTGGAAACATTTCTGAGCATATACAGAAAGAGTGACTTAGATAAGATTTAACTTCGTGAAACCAAAGGTCAGAGTGTCTAAATTCACTTTTCCTTTATTTATATAAAGGTAGGATATTAAGCATACATAAAACAGTAGAAATTAAATATAACTCTGATTCATGTTTTGTAGAGAAGGGCCTCACTCCATCATGTCTCTTGTGTTATCCAAGCTATTCAAGCAGTCTGTAAATATTAATTGCAGATGAAATGGAGATGAACAGAGAGCAAAAATTAGCTGCAGAAGCAGCAATTAAGTAGAAATTCAGCAATGAACAATGATTAAATTTTAGAGACTTGTTAAAGACCAACAAAGACAATATCATGGTAAATGCTGGATGGGTCCTGAGGCCTCTAGGACAAAGTCCATAAGAGTTTGTTTCTTGTCAGAGATATTTTTCATTTCTTGCTTGCTATTATCAGTGAGGAGAACTTCTACACAGAAGTGCATAATTTACACAATTTCCACATGAACAATTGCATTTGCTGCTCATGGCACACCTGTAAGGTAAAGTGTTTATATTACATTTTTTTTCCAGTATGGTAAACTGATATCCAGAGCTGTTAACATGTTTGCCTAAGGACACAGAGCTAGGCATCAGCAAAGCGAGATTTCAAACACAAGTCATTTTTTTTTCTTTCACACAGTGGTGTATTTTGTGTTGCTTGTAATGGGTGTAAGGACTTTCTTGTCAGTTTTGTTAGAGCAAAACTCCTTAGAAAGAATAGGTCTCCATCGACCTCTGGGTGGACATGAGATGCACATCTCTTTTGTTAGGTCCCTTGGGATGACAGTCCCACCCTAGGCTCAGCTGCCTTTTCAAGCACACGCCTTCCCACATAACTGGCAACTTGAAATATTTGCACTCTAGGTACCTGACAGGGAATATCTAACTCACTTGCTATCAAAAGCTCAATTGAGCAAAAAACATATTTATGCAAGCCACTCTGAAGGGCATGCCACCATTTCCCCAGACAGGCAGAATCTATCCCAGGATGAAGCCAGAACAACTGAGCATTGTGCTCTGGATGGAATGGATGGGTCTTTGTGGAATTATTTCACTGAATGTGTGCTTGGGCCTTAGATAATCTGTTTCCACTGAAGGACACTAATAGAAGCAGACCTTGAAACTCATTGCTATTTTTATTATCAGAATGCTGTTGGTTGCATTATCAAAATGTCTTGTTTTTGAGGAATCAGGGAATGATAATTGAGCTTCTGGGCATATTTCACATTTTCCTTTTGAAAGCTTAGAAACAGTCAATTCATGATCTATTACCAGGGAATGTGCAGGGAATTATATCAAATCTATTATATTCCAGCTGCTCACCTGACTTTATCTTATCTTTAATAACCTTACTTTCCCCATTTTCTTATCTTTTTTGCATCCACTTCTTTAAGTTCATCCCTTCCATTGAGACCAAAAGAAAAGAATGTATTTTTTATAAACCACCTTGCAACATTTCTTTATAAGTAGGATTTCAATATATAAACATGGTTCAGAATCAGGAGAGAGTGACATTTACATATACCTGGTCTCCGTTGCCTCCACCCTTTAGTCTTTTTATAGCTATTGCTTCAATCATAGGAACTTGGGACTCATGAACGAGAAAGGAGTCTCTCTACCAAAAAGGAGAAATAACTCTAAGTGTCACCGAGAAATGTCAACTGCTATTTTATAAATTTCGAAACGGTAACATGTCAAAATAAACAAAAAGGAATTAGGCATGATTACTCACCTAAGGGAATTTTGGCCTTCCACTTTATCCTAACAAACACTTTACTATTTCTATTTAATATATATATATATATATATATAAGCTTTGGTGGCCTTCCTTAACTCACCTTAAACCATTCTGAAGTGATTTCTACAGGAATGTTGGGGGAAAAAATTCTAAACACTACCAATTCCTACAGGTGACAAACTGTATTTATTATTATTTTTGTCTAATTATTTATACATACACAATTGCATTGTACATACAAAATGTGTATTTTTCCTTGTTCTTCCTCTGTCTTTGCATTTTGTTTTAGCATCTGAACTGTTAACCACCTTGGCCATCTTGAAGCTCTCTTTCCCTTTGTTTTTTGAGATCCCCTTATACTGCAGTTGATTGATATATCCTTATACAAATATTCTTTCATTCAAAAATAATCACTGAGGAGCCCCTTCATGTCAAGTGCAGAGCTGCATGCAAACTCTTTATCTAGTTCCTTATCCTTACAAGTTCAATTTAGTTTCTCTCTTTACACCCAAACCTGAATGGGAATATTTCCCAAAGTTCTTTCTCCAGCTTTCTTCCTTCTGTCCCTACATTTTCTCTGTCACAGACTCATCCACTGCCACGACTGCCCTTGTGTGTCTCTAGTGGACTCCTTATCCCCACTTGCATTCGGAACACCTCTAGTTTGCAGTCCATGATTTCCCGCCTCCAGCCAGTTGCTGCTTCTGAGCTCTTTCTTCTGTTGCTCTGCACATTCTTACAGTGCCCAGGACTTGCATCCTAAATGGATTCTGTGCACTCCTTTTCAACACTGTGGATGAAATTCCTTCCCTTCCTCAATACATTTTACTTTCTGTCCTCTCAGACTCAGGCCTGACTCACTCTTCCCTCTCTCCTCACACCTAGTTTGATGCCACAGCAGAACCAAGCACCCAGCCTTCAGGAAGAGTCTTTGTTTCCTCTATCAATTCGATCACACTGTCGCCAAATCAATCTTTAAAAAGCACCACTATTCCCGTGTCACTTGGCTGCTCTGAAGCCTTCTGTGGCTCCCTACAGTTTACAAAAAAGAGTTCTATTTACTTTTATATTTGGAAATTCTAAATTGATTTTCTTTTCTTTTTGCTTGCCTTTTGATAAAGCCACTGGGAGAACACTAAGGAAAGGGGAAATTAACTTTTATATATATTTTTTCATTGCTGGGGATTGAACCCAGGGCCTCGGGCATGCTAGGCAAGCACTCTACTCTCAAATTGCTTTGCCATAAGAGCTGACAAAGGACAATGTTTCAATCTTAGACTAATTTAAAAAACTTGTTACTAGAAATAAGGTAAAAAGGGCCACATGGTCATGGAACTTGTATCCACAGGGGGAACAGGCTTTGCAACCTCTCTAGATCTATAAAGCAGGAGAGGCAGAAATGCTGGGTGCAGCCTTGGGGCTCCACACCCTCTTTGGTCAGAGCTGGCTTGTCGCATCTCTGGCTCTTGCAGCCTATCCAGCCTTAATGATAAGGTCCCTCTTGTCACATTCACTATGCCACATGCAATTAAGTTCACGCCTCCTGTCAGACAATTCACATCAGCAGATGACCAGCTGGATACCATCCAGCTGGAAACACACCCAATTTTTGATATTATGAAAAGAATCAGAAAGAGGGAGAATAAAGGCAAATATTCAGAATTTTCCTACACATGCCTTGAAATGATACCTATGCCTTCTGATCCTTACCACGTCTTCCTCCAAAGAAGTTCCATCTCCTATCATGTGAGGATGGAAAGGGTCTTTAGTGAGCAACAGACACTCTGTCCACAATGCAGGATCATAAGAAACAGAGGTTTGCTGAGTGCCAGTTCTATGCAGGAGGAATGAACCTAAGAACACCCAGGAGTCCTTGGGGTCAGACGAACCTGGGTTTGAATTCTGCCACCCTTAGTTGCTAACTGGGAAATCTTGACTATGTGACTTAATTTCCCTGAGCCATAGTTTCTTCATCTTCGAAGAGAAGCTTGAGGAATTAATGAAGAGTGTGCTGAAGACATTGCAACAAAGCTTTGCATTATTACTATATTAAAACACAATCTTGCCATTGTGATTTTACAAGAAAAAATGCATCTAGGTCACAATGGAACATGAGTGGAGAGAGGACTTCTCACTTATCTGAGACGACCATCTTCTTGTGTTTGTTCCTTGTTTCATGGTCTCTGGTCCATATTTTCTTTTGAGATCTTGAGCTTTGTCTAGCATCATCTTTATAAACAGGACTTCTTTGGTGCAACCCAAATTCAGTGAAGTGATTCCCTGTGCACCTAACCTTAGGTGGTAGGCACAGCAAGGAGTGATTTATTGTTTTCTTTTCTTTATAGTTAAAAGAAATGGAACCTAAAAGCAGAGTGTCTTGCTTTATCAATTTTATGATTTCTTTTTCCTTCATTTCAAATGCACAATTATCCTGGTTAGAATGCCAACTAAACTTTGGGAAGAAAAACCAGACGAGTTACACATTTTCAGCTTTAGCTGGTGCCTGCAATAGCCCCTTAAGGTCTGATCTTCAGCTGCAGATAATGGTAATCAGATGAACGTAGAGGCCATCAGCCCCTCATGGTTTCTCCAAAAGCACAAGCCAATACTCATTTCTACTTAAACAAATGTCCACGTGGGCAAAAGCCTTGATGGATGGACATATTTAATGCTAACTTTATCCCTGAACAAGAGAAAAAAATGAATAAAATAAAAGGATCTTGGAGTTTGCTAATTTTTTTTTCTCCTGCTGCAAAAGAAGGAGTTCTGAGGTCTGTGAATGTAGCTTTGCATTGGGAATGAAAAGAATAAATATTTGATGTAGGTAAATACAGGCCTTTAAGTGACTTTCGGTTGCTCAAATTTAAGGCACGAATAATGCTCAAAGAATTTTATTCTCCTCTTACTCTGGCTATTGTTTGCATAGGTGAAAGTACACCACCTGAGGAAAAAAATGTTCTGGGTCATACCGATTATAAATACCTATCTGTCCACCTGAGTGCATAATAAAGGAGCTCTTTCAGCTACTGAAGACTAAAAATGGATGTTTTTCTGAGGATGAGAGCAGGTTAGAGAAAAGGCATAATGCGTGATAATGATAACCTATTTCTCAATTTGTCACTCACTCTTTGTACTCTGAGCTCAGGACTGAGGAGCCCACACTATTCCCCTCAGGAAGAACAATGGTCATTACATGATGAGGGTCTTCCTTTTTAACAGCGTCTTTTATATTAAGGCTTCTGTGTTCCTTAGAGGCCTATGAAGGACTGTTTAACACACACTTTATGTGGGAACAGATTGAGAAAGACTCCTAATGATTTGTTAAACTTCAAACTGAAAATTGATTTTAGAACTTCTAAACCCCTTGTGTTAATTTTACTTAAAATCATTTCATCTTTGTGATTAGGACCCATTCGAAACACAACCTTTTGATTCCATCTAGTTTTAACCAACCCTTGACCCACTTTGAAAGGCCTGAGTTTGAAATTTAAAAGTACTAAACGTAAGAAGGGGGCTGAAGACACATTGGAAGAGAATCACAAAAAATTCTGTGGGTAAATGTCTGTGCTAAACTGAGGTAGGAGCGGCAGGTCAGGGGTTATGGGTGTCCAATCCTTTGGGACCTTTAACCCTGTAATGGGAACAGGCTAGATTTCTGAATAGGGCCACACAAAGTCAATGTCTCTGTGTGGCCACACAAAGTCAATGTCTCTGTGTGAACTCACACATCTCTCTGGACATTCCAGGGATCACATTTTGACCACTTTTCCCCTGTTAATATGGCCACATGTCTACTTGGAACAAAGATCTTAGGCATTCCACCCATCCTCAAGATCTGCAAAAGTGTCAGAAGCTTCAAAGGTAAAAAGAAGTATAACTTGATCTTTTATGGGTCTAGAGAAAACTGTATGTCATTTAAGACAAAAATATGTTGGGTTTATTGTTTCTCTTGTACAATTCTCCTCCAAGTTAGACTGGTAAAGTCAAGTGCATCAGGGGGAAAAAAAAAGCATATTTACCTCATATTTTCTTTCCTGTGTACAGTCACATACATTTCGTAGACTCTCCCTTGGGGAATGGCCCCAGCGGGAATCAGCAAGCTTACTCCTGAGCAGCAAAAGAAAAAAGCAGTTGTATGAGACCTGTGAATCAAAAGGAAACTTCTAGAAAGAAATGCCTTTGCAGCAAGCAAAAAGTAATGAGGAAATTCTGTGATCACGCAGCACTAAGACTGCTGCTTTTTCTCCAAAGACATGTAAATACTCATAGCTGCCCTGCTTTCCTTCCTTATTGGCCTCTGTAGTTACCACAGTTCCCTCTGAACTGTTATGGAATTACTTAGAGGAATGATTTTTTAAACTCTGGTTTTATTTAAGGAAGAGACAGATGGTTCCACTGTTGTTTTCCTTGTAAAACAAGAGGAAAACCAAAAACTGCTATAAACTTTCAAACAGCAGTAATGATCCATTGTTTCTAATTAAAAAAAAAAATCTCCACAAGATTCAAAGACAACCTCAACCATATCAAAAAAGATTTATTTCTGAAATATCTGGTTAGCATCATGTATTCTACAATGGAATCAGAATTGTTGACGTACTTTTGTTACACATAACTCAAAAAGGTGAACTGTGAGTTTAGTTAGAGCCAGTCAAAGCACTTCTACTTAGCTGCTAATTGGTGCCCTGTGGGAGCACTATTGGACTGAACTGTGCTCTAAGCTAACTGTGCACACAGCAATCCTTTGCCATTGAGTTTGCATCAGGATCACCTGGAGGGTTTGTTAGACCACAGATTAGGGGACCTTACTACAGAGTTTCTGATTGAAAATGTTGAGGCGGGGATGGGAGATTCTATAGATCAGATGAGTTGCCAGGTGATGCCCATGATGAAGGTCTGGGGCCCAGCCTGTAGGAACTGCTGAAGGGCACTACTGATCATCATCTTAAAGTGACTTGGGACCAGGATTGGGGGTCAGCATTGTGAGGATGTTTGGCTCCATCATTTCATTCCCATGAAATGCACTTTAATTCAGCTCAATAACGATGTATGGAGTATCTTTGTGAGAACAGTGTTTGGCACCATTGTGAATGCCAAGTAGGAAAAGGTAGTGTTCTTGTCCTTGAGTAACATATAGTTAACAAGGAAATGGTATATGTCAAATGAACATGATGCAACAAGAAAACTTGCCCCACTGCATTACAATAGCTTAAGAGTAAAGAACAGAGAGTCAAGGGAAAGTAGGGATACAAAGGCCTTTGCATAGCTCATGGAAGATGCTGAGTCAGGGCCCTCTTGAAAAGTAGAGTGATAAGGGAGCCCTGGTGGGACAGGAAGGGCAATGTCAGGCTGATATATAGAGAATGGTTGTGGGGGGCATGGAGGGAGAGCAGGAAGAACACACAAATCCATTAAGACTCAGCATTTTTTTTCCCCAATGAAAATCATAAAAATGTACCTTTGTCTTTGTTATGGGGATGAAAAAAAATTATAGATGTAAATTAGAAACAATAAGGCCTGACAAATATGAATGACTATGTTACTCTATTAAATGAAATGATGTTTTTGATCATTGTCTCATATATATTAAGTACTTAAAACATACTGGCTCCCACCCTTCCACTTAAGAAGCCTTTATATAATTCATATATGAATAAGTAGCAAAGAGCATACAAATATAATGAAATTGAGAAAAAGGCAAAAAAAAGCATTTAAAATAAAACATCTCAGCTATGTAAAATCTATAAAGGCAAAATGACATTCTATTAAATATTTCAACTATATTAAAATACTTCTTTAAAAGTATGCTATGAAAGGCATTGCAATGGGAGAATAAGAATCAGAGACAAGCCAGGTATGGTGGCGCATGCCTGTAATCCCAGCTGCTCAGGAGGCTGAGTCAGGAGGATCACTAGTTCAAAGCCAGCCTCAGCAAAAGCAAGGTGCTAAGCAACTCAGTGAATCTTTGTCTCCAAATAAAATTCAAAATAGGGTTGGGGATGTGGTTCCGTGTTTGAGCGCTCCTGAGTTCAATCCCCAGTACAAAAAAAAAAAAAAAAGACAATTTCATATGCAGGTCTAGAGATCCTCCATAGGTCTGAATATTAATTGCATTTTTCATGTGACATTAACACATTAGGTCAATGAAGTTGCTTTCTATTCCTGTATTTAAAAATATTCACATTTTTTTCCAAAGAGCGAAGATAGATTCAAAGAGGAAGTCATTAGCCCTCTTCTGGCCTATGGTTCCAAACCCATTACTATTACTGATTCATGAGTACCAATCTCTAATCCAACATTATGGGTCACTAACTTAAGGTCACCATGGAAATCCTTCTGAGGCTTTTTCTCTAGGTTGATATTATAGATGGATATATCCAAGGTCAGACTTAGGACCTTATAAATACTTTGTGGTTGAAGATTGTGGGATGAAGAGTTCAGTTAATAAAGAAAGACTCTGATGTCTATTATGATGTCTCTGATCATCAAAAAATTAGTGTTCTGAATCATCTCTTCCTTTAGTTAGCTGGAATTGAATCAACTGACTTTTTTTCTAATTAATTTGTCTTTTTATAATACAGTGACAATTGTGAGGGCTCCTGGTTTACTGCTGCCTCCCGAAGCTCTATTAAAAAGAAGGTCAATGACAGTTCTAAATTGTATCTCAGCAGAAAGTTGGGAGTCAAATATTTCTAGAGGAAGTGTTTCAGACTTGTTTGAGGGAAGATAAATGGTTTTGCTGATTTGGTCTGAGGTAATATTTGATTTATGCTGAAAGGAGATTTGGGTTAGATACACAGTTAACTTTTCAGTTTAATAAGAAAACAGAGATTTGGGGACAAAAATGTTTTCAAGTTGCATCTTTGCAACCTTTAGGCATTACCTGAATTGGGAACAATAAGGTGGCCCCCAAGGGAGTTGAAGGTGCCAAACGCTGTACAGGATGGGTCGGTCTGCCTGGCGAGACTCTGATTCTTCAGGTTGAGGGCCTCATTCTCCAGCAAGGACTGGGTCATCTGTGGGGACAGCTTGGCTGTAAACTCAGAGAGGTCATCTTGGGGAGTGACAGCACCCGAGGTGTTGTACACTTTGATTTTCAGGTTGGGCAGTGGATCCAGAATTGGAGAATTGGTCATTGGGATTTTGTCTGAGACGTCGTGTAGGGCGTAGACAGGTCCCCTGTACATGGCTGCAGCAGAAGTGAGGTCTGGGGGCACCGTCAGAAGATCTGAGTCAGAGAAAAGAGAATTCCATTGGCATTCTCCATTCAGGCCAGCCTACATAAGTCAGACACCCCCTCACACTTTCTGAGCCAAAAGCAAAGCAGCTCAGCTAATGTTAGAGATGGACAGACTCTCAGGCTCTGCAGAAAACAGGGCAAGTGGTTAACTAGCATCCATTTTGTTACTGGCTCATTCTATATTTTCCTTTGAGGTCTATTCACTTTACCCAAAGGATCTGGCTGTTGCAACAGACTGGGTTGAAAAGTATGCCCCATGAGGTTCCCATCAGGTAACAGTGTCCCTTTTCTATATTAGATTTGGGTTCATTTGAAAACGACTGTAGTAATACAAGGTATCTTGTCAAAGAAGGTAAAGAGAGAGACTAGGAAGTCAGTCCACGAATCAATGTTCTTTTTGCCAAACAGAGGTTAAAAAGTATGACAGAGCAATGTGCCAGGGGGGTGGAAAATGATTTGTGAACATTGTCAACTTTTTTTTTTTGGTACTTTGGATTGAACTAAGGGGCACTCAACTACTGATCCATATCCCCAGCCCTATTTTGTATTTTATTTAGAGACAGGGTCTCACTGAGTTGCTTAGTGCCTTGCTTTTGCTGAGGCTGGCTTTGAACTTGAGATCCTCCTGCCTCTGCCTCCTGAGCAGTTGAGATTATAGGCATGTGCCACCGCACCTGACATGGACAACTCTTAATTTGTTTTGTGGAATGACATCAATCCAGTAATGAATAAAATCAATAGTGTCATTGTCCTCAATGAGCTTACATTCCAACTGAACTAGAAGACTGAAACATCAGGATCTTGAAACCACCTAAAGAAACTTCATACATGCATGAGTAACAGGGTGTGAAGTGCAATGTCCACCAACCTTGTCTGGCGGCCTTGATGTTCACAGGCTGAAAGCCCCCGTTTAGGGCTGAAGAGTCAATAATATCAGACTCAAAGTCACGATGGTTCTTCCGATACACAAAGAGGGCCACGACAACAGAGATGGCCAGGCAAACAATCACTGCGATCACAATCCCAACATAGAGAGCAACATCATCCGAATCAGGAGCAGCTAGAGGGAAAGATGCAATGCTGGACTAACTGCTTAGAGAACTTTCTCACAGTACACATATGTATTGCTATAATTTTTTCAGACATTTATTGCCTTTTTTATAGGTTAATTTCAAAAGCTATATAAAATGACTGTGGCCTTTCAGTGGAAAATTATCTCTGATTTCTTTTTCTTTCTCTCTCTGCATCAATCCACCCACTAATCTATCTTATAATTGGGCAGGATAACAGACCATTTATTACTAGGCATATAAACTGAACTAAAACCAGCCCATTCCATGGGGGGAAGAGTTTATTATTCTTTCAGATAAAAAAAAATGGAAGGATTTTTGAATTCATTGATAGTTCTTTAAGAAACATAAACACCTGGTGTGTTTGGAATCTGTATGTTTATTGAACCAGAATATTTTTCTAAGAATCATTCCAAGTCATAAAATTACTTTCCATAGTACTCTTCTTACTTTCCCTAAATCAATGAAGCGGTGGGTGGGAATAGTGTAACTAAGAAAAGCAAGTATTAGGAAAAAAATATATTGAATAAGAAAGGTGTGCTTTTAGAAGGCCCAGACTTGGGGGCCAGAGGTCAATTCTGGTGACTTTTGCAAAGTCCAGGCTTTTGATACAGATACAGTATTATCTCTGAGAACCTTGAGCTTCTCGTGGGGCCTGTCAGAGATTTACATTTGAGCTTGACATTACAGGAATAAAATATAGCTCTATAATGTACTAAGTCAGATATACCTCTGGCTCAGTGATCATAAAGGCCATACTACCCCAGGGTAAACATCTGACCAATACAAGGTGCTGTCCCAGGGGATCTATGTTTGGAAGAAGCAAGAACAGAACTCCTATAAGTGTTGTATGTTCCTTGGTGGCATGAGACACGTTGTTTGATCTTACTGGAAAAGATGATAAAAACTGATAATTTAAGCCAAAATTAAACATTTGTTGAACTACTTTGACATTGTTAAGTCTCTGGTTTCGATTTTCTGTGACTCACGAGAAATGCTCAGCAAAGCTAATTAAAGTTGCTGCTCTGCTCTCTACAAAAGAGGTGTTTCAATTGATACTTCAGGTGGTCAAGGCAAACTCAAATTTTATGGTCAGTTTTATACACACATATTTTTGGGAGAAAGAATTTTCCAATTCGTAGGTTCTGTGACCTCCTAAAATTTGAGAAGCCACTGCTCTTTCCTAAGGCTCACAGCCACATGGTTTATATGGGGGACATAACTCATCCCTTCATTTGCCAGTGGATCATGTGATAACCCCACACTCTCTGGTCATGGTATTTTTTGTATGTTGGGAATATAAGTGAATTTGCTAGTGGAAATTGCTTCATCTCTTTTAGCATTTCATATTTAAATGTACTATGGAAGATTATGCTTTCTTCTTAAAAATACTGTCCATTCTAAAATTTGAAGAATATTTATTGTCCTGTCAATCAATCAGCATTGACATATTTTTTTTTCCAGACAACCAATGACATCCTAAATACTCCTGACTATATGAGCACTGCTCTCAGAGTGCTGACACCTCTTTGCTGCTGGGTTTTATCTAAGGCTTTGCAGGAAGATTCTGAAGTCCAGTTAGAATATTATATTGAAATCCTTAATGTTTTACTTTACCAGGCCATAATTACTTACTCAACATTCATGATTTCTAGCACAATAGGTCTGCATTTTCTCAACCTTTTCCCTTTTAATATTTGAACTCTGCCCTTTATTTATATCAGCATGGTACATGATATGTTTTCTCAGTTACCAGACTCAAGCTTTGAATGGTAGACTGACAGATTTTTAAATCAGGCAGAGACTTGAAATGACCCTTTCTTCTCTTCTGCATCAAAAATCTAATTTGTTTTTCATGTTAGAATATATTAGACTCCTATTTCCTGTGTGCACATCTGTGATCCAAAGAAAGGCAAATCTGAACTGGGGGCAATAATGTTAAATGATTATTCAGCAACATAAAATCCAAACATCAAACTTACAAGAAAATCCATATTCATTCTGGGTTCTCTGTTCAGTTGAAATAGGATAAATGAAACCTTGAAAAGAAAAAAAAATGAAACAAAAATGGGAACAAAATCAAATTAATGAAGGAAACAAAATGGGAAGCATGAAAAATGGTTTAATTAAAAGAAAAGGAAAAGAAACCTGTGGTCCTTTAAAATTCTGGTTCAGTACAGAATTATGATTTTTTGCATCCCCTGTCTGCTCTGGAGCCTCACTAAGAATTAATAAGGAGGCAGATTGAATTTCAGAGCAAAAACTGGTCTCGAGTCACTAACTTTGGAGTGCTTAAAATCTTTCTTTTATTGAGCATAAACTCTAATGGATCTAATTTATTTCAGACATCAAGGGTCATTAGCATAAGGAAAATCTTTTTTCCTTATCCCTGCCATATGTTTTAATTCCCAGGACATACTCAGTAAGGCTCTAAACAGTTTTTTTTTTTTCCTGTTTTATTTAATCATAACAGCTCACTCTTGGTCTAATAGAACTAAAGGAGACCTGTCGTCATTGGTCAAAGGTTAAGTATCCATTTACTGAGCTGAGTTGTGACCACCTCTCCCCACTACCTCAAATCCACTTTTTGTATTTTCTGTTGTTTCCTGTCTCTTTCATTTAATGGGAATCCAATAGGGATTGCCCAGGGATTGAGCAGTTTGTCAGTGCAATGGAAACTGAATGTTTTTTATTTGAAATCATTTGAAAATCAATAGGGCCTAAAGGTTATAAGGTTATTTATTTTAGGACTTCAAAAGAATGTTGTATATTGGGGGAAAATAACCTCATATCAGCTGAAAATACAGAAATAGCACTGTAAGGTTTTCTTTGTAATGGATTATGAAGTAGGAAACCAATAATTATAACAACATAATACTTAAAAATGGTAATAATGTGAAGTGGAAGAAAAGAGGAAAAAATGTACAACATGAAGTTCTTGAAATGAAAAATCTGTGGAAAACTTTTAAGTATAATTTATAACTGGCACCTACAGTTCCCCAAGATTCAATATTCTGCAGCATATGAATTAATCAAATAACATAGCACCATTTGGATTAATCAAATGAAGATGAACAGGAAGCATGCAAATTAAATATTCCTAGTAATACTCAAGGGCAAAAAATATAGGGAAACTGCAAGAATCACAATTAATTGGTTCAAAATGAAAGGTCTGTAAAGCTTTAATACTAAAAGCAACTCTAAATCATGCTTCAGGTAGCCCCTCTGCAGTTTGCAGAGCACTCGGTTCCTACGAGCTATTTACCTATTTGGGAACTCATTCTGGAGACACATGCAGCGCTACTTTAATGAAAGGAAGGCTTGCTGTAGCACAGATAGGTTTGCTATGAATTAATTTTTAATGCTTTATTTTAGAGCAATGATTGCAACCTCCTACTCAGTTTTATAAATATTATATTCCTTATTCTAGTTGTCTGAGTCCATGTATTAGGTTTGATTTTCATTTTTAAACATCTTTGCCTGGTAATAACCTTTTTCCATTTGTATTCTATGAACTCAATAAAAGGACATCTGGGACAGATAGAGGCTTTATTTTAGGAACCCAAAGACTTATGCCAAAACAAGTTCACTGCAAATGGGGGAGACCAGATAACAATGTCAGGGGTTTGGAAATGATGCTGCTATGTAGAAGGTAGTCAAAAGACTCACTTTTTACAGGTGAGAGGGCAAGGGCAGGAGCATAAACTAGGATATTTAGAAATGTTCTGATGCTCACCTGGAAAATTTTGGTAAGGACCCACAGGGGCATATTTGAGTAAGCAGAAGAGTAACTCTTACAAGAGGAGAAGTCTATGTCTAGAGATTAATGACATGGCCTGAAATTTTACCCCACCAAGCAGTTCTGAGTTTTCCATTGCTTATATCCTTATTTCCCCAACAGAATTACTGTTCTTAACAGGCAGATCAAATAATAATAGAAAAGAACTTTATAATTTTGATTTTAACTTCTACTTTCTCATATTTATTTAGATTTGGATCACTCAATAAATGTACTTGCACCTTATTTTATGAGACATATTTAATTCCAGGCACAACAGACTTAGAAGTAACTCATTCATTCAACAAATGCTCTTGAACCCTTCTGTATTCTGGTTTCTATTCTAGGCACCAGAGATACTTTCTTGCATTAATGGAGCTTATGTTCTAGTTTAATAGAAAATACAGAAGTAAAATAAGTTTGAGTATTGAAAAAGTCCTTTTAAAAATAAAGCACAAAAATGTTCTATGATTGGAAATAAAGGGATGGCCAACTTAGAGAAGAGGGAAAATTTTTTTTCTTATTCAGATGAAATTTGAGCTGTAAGTGAAATTTAAGTGATGATGAGGAACCAGCAGGATAAACATCAGGAGGCAATAAGGTTGCAGGAGAGTGACAGCAAGTGTAAAAGTCCTCACAAAGAAACAGAGTGGTTAGAGGGTAGGGAGTAAGGTGGGAAAAGGAGGGGTAGGGTCCAAGAGGTGGGTAGCAGCCAGATCATGTAGGCCTGGTGGCTCAGGAGGAAGAGTTTCAGTTGCATTCCAATGAAATGCAAATCCTGTGATTGAATTTAATTTTGAAAATAATCACTTTGGTAACTCTACAGAAAATGAATTGCAAAAGGAGGCAAGTGATAGACTTTTATGAACAATTCTATAATGTGTGGCTTGGGAGATGTACATCAATAGGTGTATCAATATATTTGATGAAGTATTTATGTTTCAGGTTGTTCTAAAATAAAATATATACATATATATATATGTATATATATATACACACACATATATATGCATATATATATATATGCAGATGTATATATATATATTTAAAACATCTCATCCACAACCAGTTATTCCTCATAAACAATTAGGACCAATCTAGCCAAACCATTATTTTCCAACATGGGGAAATTAAAAACAGAACAGTATGAAGTGTGCTCAGCAAAAGCTCAACACCCCAATTTACTCTGTTATGGAAACACTGATAAAGGGTTTTGGAAGACAACCCTATAAAAAATTTTCCATCCCTTTCAAAAAACTTCTGCAACTACAGAAGTAAAACATCACTTAGGAGACAAGAAATCAGAGAAGAAAGGGATTACTGTTCCATCCCCTAAACCAAGGGAACACAGAATCACTTTCCAGAGTTTGTTTTTATGCTTGTCCATCTGATCCGCATGTCTCTGAACAACAGGGGACATTTTCTTCAGCTAATGAGGTAACCCTGCTGAGAGTAGTCGTAGCAATAATGAAAAATAACATCTCTGGGAGAACACAGCACAAAATAATTGTTAGTGTCTCTCTGACAGGCAGGTTCCTAAGTTAGGGATTTCAGTTAACTTTTCTGCTACTTGAAAGTAAGGCAGACTGAAAAAGCACCAAGGCTGAAGGCCAAAGCAGTGGAACACATGTGAACTTTGAGTTTTTTCAGTCTCGTGAACTTCAGTTTGAATCCTAGCTCTACAAGTTCTTTAACTGTGAGAACTTGCTCAAACCAATTCCCTTCTCCAAGCATCAGTTGTCTAATCTGTGTAAAGGGCTATGAATACTTGCTTCCATTGTTGTGGAAAGGATAAATGAGATTTGGAAGGTGTTGGTATATTGCAGGCAATCAACAAATGACAAGCAATTATATCTATATCATTATGACGCATACTGCTAAGCTACACTAAGAATTCTTAAGAGATTTTATTTGTAGAGTTGATATATATATAGCCTATTATTTAATGAGGAAACTTAGGAAGTTTTTGAATTTCAGTTTCCCTGGTTGTTGCAGAGACAAGGAGCAATATAATTTTAAGTCCTATGTACTCTTTAACCCTCTCTGCTCAAAGGGGTTTATACCTGGTCTTTGTCACTTCTGACAAAGGTATAGTGACATGGTTCAAGAGCAAATTTCCAGAGTCAGAGTGAAAGTTGGTTCTAACAGAGTATCTCTCAATCAGGAGCTACCACTTTTCTAGGAGATGTCTGGGAAGGGGCAGGGGCACTGTTTTTTTTTTTTTTTTTGATTGTATTAATAACAAGGTCTAGGGGGTTATTTTTGGTATTTAGTGAGGAGGGCCAAAGATATGTCCTGTAATGGGAGTCTTGCTATGGAAAAACTTTTGGTGACAAAATGCACCTCCATGGATGAGAACATTGTCACCTCTATTGGACTGATAGAAAAAACATAGGCCCACAGCTAGGGAAAGGACACTGCAGGCCAATCCAGGGCTGTGCTCCCCTGGAAAATTTGGGAAGATTTTCCTTATCTGGAGGACTAGGGGCTGGAAGTTTGTTTGTGGAGAGAAATATTAAAAAGTGAGTGAGGACACAAACAGTTGGAAAATGAGAGCAGGCATCCTGGACAGTTAGTGCAACAATCCTTTTGCTTTAAAGCCAGCTTAAAATTGCTCACAACATCATTTCAAGAGATTATCTTGTCCAATCTTTTTCAGAAGAGGAGACTGAATCCCAAAGGTGAGAAGTGATATTTTCAAAGTTGTACAAAGATTTAAAATTCAACCAACTGAAATTGGTTTCCGCTATCTCATCAGTAGCAGTGACCACCTGCAAGTTTTGCAAGTTCCTACACTGGGATGGCACCCTTCATCCACACTTGGCCATTTTTTGGCTGGTGGTGTTAAGGTAACTTGAGGAAGGACTTTTTCTAATTTGTCCTAGGACATTCATCTATTAAACTAGGAGCAGCATTGTCCATATTTTTCAGCTAGTGTCTAACTATTTTAAAAGATCAAAGCCCATGTCCAATTATTTTTTTAAAGGAAAGAAAACTTGTCCTGGATTTATATTGCAGTAACAACACATTATCTTTATGCACATGGATAATATCTAGTAATTGTTTAGTAATATGCCAGGAGTAGCCTATTTAGTGGGCTTATATTAGGGAATTTTCAGGAAAAAATGCCAGAAACTAAGTGTAAATCTCTCTTTTCCCATTAAACAGCAAGTACTTTTATTTTTCTAGTCTTTAAAAGGGTTTTCTTTTTAGGTGGTATATATAGTAGTTGATAACCAAAAATGATCATGGTTTCATGAT